GTTTTGTAAAAATATATATATATATATATTATTATATATCTAGTATGACACTTTTTATTTGTGCGACATACTTGTGTCATATTATAGTAATTTTTTTAACTTATAACATATAACTACATTAAACATAAATATATCAATTGAGAAATAATTTTATTTTTCTAATGAATTTTAATAAATAGTATTATTTTTTATTATTATAAAGATAAATATAATTTATTTATTTAATATATACAATATGGATGTCAAATCGAAAATCATCAAAAGATGATTAATTTGATATATTATATATGTAAAACCGATAACAAATAAACAAGTTATCAACTTTTAAAATACATTTACAATTCAATAGATAATTGAAGGAAACAAATCAAAAGTGAGGGATATATACATATATGTATATATATATATATATATATATATATATATATATATAACTCTATATATATATATATATAATTACTAGCTATGACATTTAAGAAAACCTCACAAATAAAACCTCTAAATTTTTTCCTCCATTTTCGATTACAAAATTTATATCAATATTTTTTTACTTCTCAAATTAATACATCCTATGGAGTGTAATCATGTATTTTTCTATTTTATTATATAATTGGTAATGCTAATACCAACTAATAATAATTTACAATAAATATTAATTATATAATTATAAACAATTGTTTCAAATTATTTATTATAACATCATTATTATCTTTTTATTTTATATCTCATGAAAAAAATTTCTTTAAAAACAAGTAGTAAATAGTTTTAATAGCATAGTCAAACAACTTTAAAATCTTGTAAACAATTGTGTTTGTAATAATAATAATAATAATAATAATAATAATAATAATAATAATAATAATAATAATAATAATAATAATAATAATAATAATAATAATAATAATAATCAAATTGCTATTATCTAATGATAATAAACAATTGTTTATAATAATAAAGAATTGTTATTTTATTTTTCTTAATTATCAAATTTTAAAAATGAAACATGTTCATTATCTAGAATTTTAATATTAAATTCTCATACATTACTTTTAATATTTTATGTGCATTTGTTAATGTGCAAAAGATGACTACTAGTTGTAAGTAAATTAAAAGATATCCAAACGACGAAGCATGACATTTTGCCAAATAAAATTCCAAAGTGTATAAGTTTGCCGCTTAAACTCGAACACATTATGAAATAATATATAAGGGGATTTCGCATAACAATATACAATCAGTTTCTCAAAAAACAAGATTCATGAATTTGTATTAATTTCGTAGAAAAACAATAGACAATCATTCTATAAAAAGAAGATTCATGAATTTGTACTAATTTCCAAGAAGAACAATACACAATAATTTTCTAAAAACAAGAATCATGAATTTGTACGTTAATGAATACTCAACAGGTGCCGTAAGAACCTTATCAAACTCGATTAAATCCAAAAAAAAAAA